TGATTTAGGAAACCAGACGCAACCGAAGAAAAGACGAGACTAAGAACGGCTAACCAGCCGAAAATCCAAAATGAAGAAGAACGTTCTGTCAAATAAGAAGCCCCGTTGAACTTGAAGACAATCAGATGGACGGAAACATCACATAAGGAACTAGCCAGAAAGGTCCCATAGAGTTCGCTTAACAGTTCATCGACAATAGAACCCAGAATCCTATATGTTACGTTCAAACTATCAACAGTTACTATGTAGTGATTGAGATCGTTTTTAGTCTTTCATCGTAGTGGGGTCGACCCACTGCGCAAATTCTACCACAATTGTGCATTGTGCTTTTCGATGAGCACTACGGGCGTAGGCTGTGTGCTTCGATGACCGTACGCTTGCATGCATAGCCATGATACCCTCTGTTCAACGTTCGGTTGGCCACTGGTCGCAGGGCTAAGATTAGGACTTTATCTCTTTCCGAGCTGTGCAATTCTATGGCCACTACTGCTACCACTGCGCACATGTTCAGCATAGTATCTCGGCAGGCCTCCGCGAACTTTCTCCATAAGATAAGAAACAGTTTTATCGGGTAAAACGAACGCCAGATACCGTCTGAACCATCCGAGTCACGGAAGCCATGCCGTGATAAAGTCAGGCCGCAAGGGTTCAGTAGAAAAGTCAGTAAAGCAGTAGGAATCGTTCACTTACCGCTTTCAGTGGAGTCACTATACTCAAGGGATCGATAAAGCGGAGGATAAATAAAGCCATAAGAGTAATATCAGTAATGCTAATGAACAGCTACCATGATTGTCCCGATGCAAATATATCGCAGACAATAACTGCAGAGACTAGTAATTATATCACTTTGATGTAACCGCCAGGTGGACAAGAAGCGCAGACTGTCCCCGTGATGGGGGGTCCGCTATGCCTCAACTGACGTACACAAATACCGGGGGCCTGCCATATTCAACCGAAAAAAATTTACTTCTCTGTTAAAATAAATCATACAGTAGTTCGTCACAGCCGCGACTTCAACGTGAAAAAAAGTATAAAAACTCTTCTCGAGGGCTTCTCGAGCCTAATGAGACATCCAATAAAGGACGTTTACAAAGATGTGAGTTTTTTTTTGAGGCACAAACGACCTAAATCTTGTACTCGATTGCTTGGTAACGGTCTATTTTTTTTTTTGAAGTATGATACTTGCGACAAACGGTGGTGTAACAAATGGCAGTAAGTTACGATTGCAATTCAGTACATCGCCATTAACTTATCATGCTCACTTTATCACTACTGTGTGGCGTTATGCATACGCACGATGAACGCTCTACATCGTGAGATAATAGGATCCTGGGAAGCACTCTTGAATCACCACCAAGAGAATACGAAAGAGGCGGCTAGAGGTAACTGAAACATCGGAAAGGCCTAGTGAAAATATTGTGGGTCGCGCAACCTCTATCATTATTGATAAGCAACATATAATTTTTTCACGTCCTCATCACTTGGATATGGACCCTTATCGACTATTAGATGGTGAAACCCTACGTTTCAGTGTTCACGTAAACGTAACTGTCCATTATAATGTAATTTTAACACCGTGATAGCGCAGTAGGCCACTCATTTGTTTGTTCAATTCAATAACTCTGAATTGGGGAAGTAATGCTTAACGGTTTAAGTACCAGACGTAAAGCATGAAAATTAACATTGACAACAATATATATATATAGATGCCGTAAAAACGAACGCTAACCCATACACATCTGTTATCACTGCGTGTACGTGCATCTCTGGCCAACTTGCAGTCACGGCAGGCGCGACAAAAGAAACCAAAGAAAGTCAACTACTTATGGTCGTAAAAAATACACACTTCACAGATCTATATCTGTCGCACTGTTCTTCTAAATGGCTATAGCGTTTAAGCATTAGAAAACTAAACGTAGCCCTAAGACACTAGCGCAGAGGTTTACGCGAGCAATAAAATGTCTGTTCGTTTCTACATGAATTGTCGCTATGAATCCCAGTTACTGACGTTCGAGGATATCAACACAAAGACAGAATCAAAGTTTAACATAGCCCAAAGCCCATCGTATTTATCTGTGTCAACAGAAAGTTTTGTAGCAAGAGCTGAATTAGCGAACGAATAAAACACGCTAATAAAAACATGCAGTTTTTAAAACGCGCATATATACAGACACATCCTGAGCGAAGCACAAAAAATCACAGACAAGCACAAACCTACATACGTATCTGCTTGAATATTTGTATTCGTGTGAATCGCATTAACATCATTATTTTCCTTATTTTCCGTTGCGGTGGAACACATTTCCGGCGCGGAAGATAATGGTAAAAGAAGGAAACGTTTGCAAAAGAGAAGACGTTTTTTCTATTTATTCAGGATTGGCGCCATTAGCTCGGTCGCTGGTCATCCCAACTATTGTAGATTGAACCGCAGAACCGTTGATAGACGTAGCGAGGTAACGCTTTGCATTCGGGATTTGGTTGAGCTGTTGTTGTTGAGGGCGCGTCTCGCGTCTGTTCCGATTTTCCCTTCTAACTCAGACAGCGGGCTGTGTTTGGCCTAGTGATAACAACAAAACGAGGGAAACTATGTGGGGTGTTGCGGGTTACCAACTCTCTCTTCAGGATCAATCCGTTTCCCCATCGGCAGCAGCAGCAGCAGCAAGACACTGAGGGCTAAACGGCGCGCTTCTAAAAGCTACAGCAAGCTAGCAAACGTTCCCCCAACTCTTTGAACTGGGTCGCGGGTAGGCGCATGTCTGGCCTGTTATGAACGGTTGGGTTAAAAAAGGCAACTGGGGTTCATATGGATTCTGATTGGCGATAGAGGCTGTCTATATAACTCTAGCTATTTGAGTTGTACAAAGGCCACAGTTTTGCATAGCTGCCTATGCCATTTCTCCTACCTAGCTTCTTTTATTGAGTGTTGCTATTGAATCTGCCTACTTGATGTTACCATTACTAGTTTATCTGCTGTCTTTCCTTGGATAAAGACCTCGCACATATATACTGGCTAAGTACTCGAATAAATGATACTCCCGATTCATCGTACATACGCGACAAGAATATGACGCGAAGAATAGTTATTTCAAGCTAATAACATTGATTTTACCCAAAGATCGAATTTGCCTAAATGTCGAAGATTCACAAAGCTCTCCAACATGTAACAAGTGATCTAAGCTTCGTCATACCACAGTTCCCCCGGATCAACGTTGAGCGGCAAATCACGCCTATACCGGGTAATTGCTATATATA